TATAATAAGTTTTTTATGCTGCTATATTCTAAAAAGTGTACTCTTTACGAATATGTATAATGACAACTAATTGTTGCCATAAAAAATAAGCCCCCCTTGACCATGCAGAAGTACGTCACTGACCACAAATTTGAAGTACGTAGATTGGTAGCAAAGTTTTTATAATTTTGGATAGCAGAAAAAACGTTGTTTGGAAGATATGTTCAGTGCTCCAAACAACACTTTCAGCCTGTATACATGATTGTTTTATTTCATAATTGTTTCAAAAATGTTCACAACTCTGTATCTCGGAAACGAGGCTTTTTTTTAACTCACTCTAAAATATTAGTACACGAGTATTGTTACGAAACAATAAAAGGCTTAACAAAGCGCTTCAAATTTGTGACTCCCCATTGGGATCTCCGCAATGGTGAGAGATACAGTGTAGGATAAATGGGGGAAAAGTTGCCCGTTTTTGTGATATAAAAACGCGGAAAAACGCTTTTAAAGTTTTTAAAAAATCTTTGGAAATAACTGAGATATCAAAAAATTGAAAATGTCAATATTTCCCCAGCTTAAACGGTACAAAATGGACGGTTCTCGTTAACTCCTTTTATGGATACTTTTTTTTTGGAAAATCTGAATCTGTTCTTAGAATTTCCACAACACGCTAAATGTGGCTTTATATGGATAATCTCTTGATTTTATTAGTTTATACAGTTCTCATATGAAATATTATCTTGAGTTTGCATAATTAGGTTTATAAATTAAAGGTTTCAAATGAAAAGTGCATGGTAAAATTATAACACCCCGTAAATCGGTAAAGAAATGTGTTCGTCTCTTTTTAGCGAATTTTGTGTGTGCTATTGTTTGCGTTTTGTCCGTTCGTCCGCCCGTCAGGAGTTTTGCTTATTTTTAGGGGAGTGTGGGAGAGGGAAGAATTATTTCTCGAAATGCTGTTTCTGGAAGTAAAACGCGCAAACTTGTCGGAGGAGAGTACTCACAAAGGGCGATTGGGACGTCTGGAAAAAATATATCCAGTGGTGATTTGAAAATGAAAGTGAAATTCGAAAACTGTGTGTTGGAGGGGAGGCAAAATAATCCTCTGATGGTCGAAACGAATACCTCGAAACCGAAATGTCGGAAGAGAGTACTCATAAAGGGCGGTTGGAACGTCTAAATAAGACTACTGGCAACTTAATTGTAAATATCTCGAAAATAGAGTGTCGGTGAAAGGAGGAAGAATTTCTCCGAAGGACGAAGAGTTAAAAAATGGGCTATATTATCTGCACGAGACTCATGCAGAATTTATACAAATGTTTCCCTTCGACATAGTACTATTGTATTCCTTCTAACCTGTCTTTCGCTGATTTTTTCAGAATTAAGAAAATTGTGGTATTATTTGCGTTTTGTCCGTCCGTCGAATGGGCCACTCGGCTCCCCAAAGTCTTCTTTCCGATACGACGTCCGTCGCCTCATCACTCGACTCTTCAAAGTCGTAACTTTGATCCTCGCCCCATATGTCCAGGACTTGGTCAACACCTGGTTTGTAAATTGCATCTAGTTGGATGGGTAGGAGTTTCCCTTGCAGTTGACCCCAAGTACCAACCTCTGAGTATTTAATGTCAGCCATCCGACGCCCACATCCCCATTTAAAACCTCTTATTTCATTTGCAGAACATTGTGCAACTGTGAAGCTGTTTCCTTGGAGGTCGGAACAGGGTCAAGACCAAACTTTGATGCCTGTCATCCCCAAAGGAGTGGATGCATCTGGTGTCCTAACCACATTTGTTCTTGTAGGTAAGTTCTCAAGCGATGTTGGCGGCTGCTTTGGATGTTAGAAGTGGGGATGCCACGTTGAAATTGGAGTTTTCAAGGGCTTTGAAAAACAAGTGAAATTGCATCTCCTGCTTTACCTCCGTAGAGGCTTATTAAAAATCGTAGGGAAGCTTCGGGAATAGCTTCAGCTTGAGTGACATGCTGGAGGAATGGTTTCATTTCTTCGAAAATACATTTATTTTCGACCGACAGATATAAGTTAATAATAATAATAATAATCACAAAAACCTCCAAAAGACGTATGAAATGGGACGAAGGGATGAATCGCTTCATTTTCGGTACGTATCTGGAGATCACGAACACTAATCGTTACTTGATTTTAATCCGTGTGACTAGTTAACCAGGCTAGACCTGAGTTCTCACAAGAAACACCGACCATAATAATAATCCTTTATTTGCTCAACAGAAAGACATAATCTTTCCAATTTCAGAGCAAAAACAACATTTTACAACTTGCCAGAGTACAATAGAGTTAAAAATAAATCAAAAAATATGTCTAGTAATATTGATAACAGTAACATAAACTACCGAAACCAATAACAAAAAAAAATCAAACGAACAAACAAAAAAAAAGAAAAAATTAAAAATAAAGATTCCCCGTACTGTTGAAAGAGGAAGAGCTTCTGACAGCCAATCGAGATTCTTTGGAGAATGGCCGCTGCGTATAATGACAACAGTTTCAGCTACACTCCATTTCCACGTTTTTGGACCCATAAAGAAGAACGCCGTTTCATGTCGGAGGTAGAAGGCAAAGAAACAATTTCTAAACGTTTTAGAACAAAATCAATGAATTTATCTTTTTTCTTCGTGGTAAGTTCTGGGTTGTTTTCCTAAAAAATAAACAAGCTAAGACTACCATTTAATTTTTCGTTTTTTGTCTAATTGTCAGCGCCATTTCGGCAGCCAAAGACATACTCGATACTCCTAAAATTTTCAGATTCACCCAGCGTACCCCATTTCTGGAAATTATTGATTTTGTGCTTACATTCGCTCCGCCCTATTGTTGAGGTAAACACCTCTTCAGAGTGCTGATCTGTTCTCCCATCGTCACTCATTCGTGTGAGGATGACATGTGCCAGAGCCAAATAAGCACGACCATGACCCAAAATTTTTTTTTCAGTTGATAAGTACCTACCTTTGAAAAGATAGGTGTAACCGTGAAACCACAAAATACACTTTTTGTAGGTACATTGTTACCCTCCACCACTTAAGCACAACTCAGTCGGGGAGAGGGAGGGAGGCGAACCTAGGATAGGTAATCCTACTGGTCCAAATAATTTTGTTTCTTTGATAGATTATGTTTAAAATCTATTCCAAACTTCTTTCTTGTTCTGAAGTTATGTAATTTTCTAGAAGATTGCCACTTATATGTATAGCAATTGTCAATTTCAGGAGTTGAAAATTTTATAGCACAGACCGAGGCACAGACAATATTTTTATTTCTTTGTAACTTCCGAGGTACCTTCTTTGGTAGGTACATCAATATTTTCGTTTCTTTGACAAATTTGTTTAAATAAATACAAGCAACCCTCCAAATCCCATCCTGTTTTCAAATTTTGTATTATATGTGGTGGTTCACAGGAGCGTAGGCATAGAGGAGGAAGAGTCTGCTCTTGGACAATTTCACGTTTGAGAATAAATCGAGGTATAAATTATATTATCTGTACAGGGTGGCCAAATTTGGTCGTTAGTATGGGGAAACACTCAAGGGGTAACTCTTAAACTATACCTAAGTGAAAAAAAATGACCTCGCAGTCTCCATCTATTTTTTAAGATAAACTCGATGTTGAAAACTAAACAGCCTTTTGTACTTGAGTTATGGGGAAAAGATGCATTTTTCGATTTTTAGGTAAAATTCGAGATAAAATCCTATGCTTTCTTTGTTGATCAAGTCTATTACAAATGATTGGTGCATAATTTACTATTTTGAAAATAAGTATACGAGATCAAGTAAAAAAGTTTTCAGATCTAACCTCCTTTTTACATGGAACAGCATATTAGATTCCGTTAGATTCTCTTTTGTGACTCAAAAAATACAAAAAATTATATCAAATATTTAAATTTTTTTAATTTCTACAAAGAAATTCTTTCGAATCTTTTTGAATTGAATCAACATAAAAACTGAGGTTAGGCCCGAAACCCGTATATTTATTTTGTAAAGAGCAGATCATGCAACAATAATTACATAGAAACTGTTGTAATAAACACATTTTGTATAAAAATAAAAACAGAAGTGGATTTTATTTAAAAATCGAAAAATACAACTTTTGCCCCATAAGTAACTCAAAAACTAAAGACGGTAGGCCATTTTGGATTTGGTCGAAACTACGTTTCGATTTCTTTGTTCTGATGTAGTTAGTTCTTCGGCTCATAACTGTCTCCGTAACTGGGAAATAATAGTATTAGTTACATGAAGGTTTTTTAATCCAATTTTCGCTAGCTTGACTTGAATGCAAATCGAGTTACGGTCAAGTAGCTTGAAAATCAATCAATTCAAATAGTGAAATTGAAAATTGCATCTTGTGAGAGGAAGATTTCCACTGGGAATAAATGGAGGAGGAAATTTGGAAGAAATCAGTTCAGTCACTTTCAAGAGATCTATTGAAATGGAACTGTTAGTGCACATCGGGGTGGGACGTTGGACAGATTTGATCGTAACCTTGTATGGGCAAGAATTTGATGCACTCTGGTGCTCTCTTCACGTGTTTCTTAAACTACATAAAAAGTGCAGATTTCGTAACGTATTACGTACGTACAAACAACTATCTGTAACTGTTTAATAATTAATCCAAGGTCCTTGTAGTGATTTGCTTTTGTTGACAACTGTTTGTCGACTTTTCAAAGATTAAGTTAGTTTTTTTGATTAATTTATTCGTGATTCACACCGCACATATGAAAATATTAGCTTACGTAACTGCCAGTTATGAGTCAATACCAAAATCAATTATTTACATTGTTGACAATCCCCTCAGCATATTTCTGAAAGAAATTTATGCGATTTGTGGAATCTCCCAAAGTAGGTTTTTTAACAGCTAAGATAACTAATTGAGTTTTCATGCGCCTATTGTAACTCTATTAGGCACAATTAACTCGATTGTCAATGGCCGAGAACGGTCTCGCTATAAAGTTACAGTAATTTCATTTTCAATTGAGAAATTTAAATAAAGAGAATTAATTCTTACGTGTAATCTCGTAAATATCCTGTCAAAAGCGGAAGGACCCTTAGAGTTATCCGGGTTATCAAACTTTTTCTTGCACATTTTATTCCCCATGATCCCCACAAAATTAATCCGCCGAATCTGTAATTGGGCTAATCAACTTCAATTAAATTTAAAACACGCACTTGCTATTGCACACCGTTGTTTTGCTACTGCCCGCGGTTCGGCCTTTGCAAAGGCAAAGCCACACTTTCCTCTCGTCAGGTAAAGGCTAACATGCTCATTTGGATTTAATTTTTGCGCTACGTACTCGCATCAGAACGCTTTGTTTAATAATTAATCAACATCGCTAAGACGTCGATCCTTTTCGTTAATATTTGGGTCAATTCAATTTCGATATGATATGCATGCCGTTTATGTTCATTCATTTTTGATCGTGATGCTAATGAGTCATCGCTTTTTATATAATTTACGTTGTATTAAACGAAACGGGTTTTTCTATTTTTGGAAATTACTTAATGTTGTTTTTGAGAAAGAAGTGTTGCAGCCGCTTTCCCTAATTTCGCCAGATTAATCGACACTCGAAAAAGGAGATGGGATTACTATCGTCGTACCTAACGTGTCAATGGAACCTTGACCTAATACCTATTATTAGATATATGATCATTTTACGGTGTTTGAAATTGAACTGATCGACTTCGTCAGTTCAGAAAAGGATTAAAAACTCAAACGGCGGTGTTATTTCAACAGCAAAACGCCCATACGCAAATTAATCGAGAAGCTTTCTGTTTTTTATACAAATAACTTTTACCCATTTACCGTGGTATTTTACATAGCGGGGGCGGTTGGGTTTGTTTTTTTTTGAGAGAATAAATACGCCACAAGTACTTAGATACAGAATTTATTGTTCGGCGGATTGAAAGTTTAGTGTATTTTCAAGATAACTAGCTTGCGATTCGTTACTTCCGTATTAAACCAGGTGCCAAATTCTCGACAGAACACCAGATAGGTATTTAAAAAAGGTTTTTGACAGTCTTACATCCTTTACACCTAATGTACACTGCCAAAATTTTAACAAAATCAAAATAACCGTTTTGCCGAAAAAATAATGTCGTTTTTTATCTTTGACATTTTTTCTGTTTTTTTTTTTTGGTAATAGAACCTGTCACAAACAATGTTGTCACGCAGGAGTTGTGCGCGTTTAGAAGATCTTTTCGATGACCCCAATTTAAAAATAATCGGACCAAAACTGTAGAAGAAGATAGGGAAAAATCTCCATGGTAGTACACCACGCTCGGGGATGGCGCCGAGATGTCGCCGATCCAACATCATGTGGGGGTACATGTCCCCTTAATTACACGCCCCGGTAGCTACATGTACACTCCTCGTCTTTACAAGCGTCCTTCTACGGGCCCGCATTTGCTGCCAGCCAGACAGCCGGTCAAAGTAAGATTACCTTTTTAGAAATAAATTTGCAAAAATGCACTAAAAAATCAAGTACAGTACTTTTCGCATATACACGGATTCTGAAGTTTAAATGGAATTCGATTTTGATTCCGCAAGATTAAAATGTCTGATACGACTGGTCACAAATTCAGAGGTTTCTTGATAGATACAACAATAATTTACGGAATTTTCAAAAATTTTATGATTCTCATTTATGGTTTAAATGGTAATAGTAATAGGTCAAAATTTTCTTTTCTAATAGATCGTAGAACTGTTGATTTCAATTTACAAACATAATACAATGTTCTGGGCGAATTTCTTTCATTTATGTGGAGTTTTTACAGTTAACGGGGTTGACTCAACACATTGGGGTGGTTAACAGGTGATTTCCGGGATACATTCTTAAATAAGATGACATAAATAACTCTAACAACAGCCTCTTGGGATGTGACGTCTTTGATGATGTTCGATTGAATTACAGATTTCGGTTGTTGATGCTTCTGGTCATTACAAATTTTGGGTTGGCAAAAGAAACTCGCTTTTAAAGGTTTGTTCTTGAAATTTTAAGTTAAATATTTTGGAAATTTCTTTAGTAAACATTTTTCACTCTAATGACTTTTAACTTAGCGGCACAATAATGAACGTAAATATTCTCTGACTTTTCTAACAGTTTTCTTGATCGCAATTTTGTTTTACACGGGATAGTAGAGTATCTCTCTTTCTAACATGTGGCACTGCGTAGAGCGCGGCAAAAAGTTCTGGAATCTGCTCAATAGCACGTCGTTTATAAATACGGATAGTGTCTTTATCCAGCTCCATTACGATTGCGAGCTTTTAACCTTCTACGCGGTAATGCAAAAATATTACTAATGTGCGCGGTAACTACACGCAAATTCTGCTAAGGGTAGCGAAAACGTGCACTTTTTCTATTATACTCCACAATGGGAACTTCATTTTTTCACTGGGGCAAAAGGATAAATTTCCAGGACTGCTGAGTGCTGAATATTATGGACACTAAACGTCGCTTTGAACTATTAACTTTGTCTTCTAAGCTCGGTTATTCCGAACGCTAATTAGACTCTAAAAGCCACTTTACGACAAACTCCGTACTGACCAAACGCAAATCTTCCTGTTTGGCGATTAGAACCAGAATCAATAACTTAGTGCAAAGCTCACCCCCCGCTCTCTACACTAAGTTGACTTAAAATGCCTATTTCATGATGGAAAGCAATGGCGGCGATACTTCCTTAATTTCATTGGTTTTCCGACTCTAAAGCTGTCCATACAAAAAGTAGAATTTTATCTTAATTTGCAGTGTAAGTAATGAAACATTATATTACCTCTTTTTATCGTGAACTTGCTGTCCACACTTCCACAGGGTAGTGGATGTAGCTGAAAGGACGTTCTCCTGTAGAGAAGTAGCTCTCGGGGCGTTTTTAGGTATAGAGGGAGCATTCGACAATGTTAAACCCACTAGGAAACATAGTCACACTAGTCTGCACAAAACGGGACTGACTGACAGATCGTTATACAGGGGTTGTGGTGAGGAGGAAGAAACGACTAGTACAAATAATAATAAAATAGTTTTTGGTACCGCATTAGAAAAGATCAAAGAAGGCATCCGTACCCAAAAACCTAGGTCAAGCCATTATTTCGTTCTGCTATATTTGTAGTTACTGAGAAGAAGACTAAGAAAGAGACGCTAGTTTTCGCAGTTTGACGGCGTAATAGTCAAACGAAACCTTTCTTTTCAACCATTTAATAAAATTTGAGATACCCTGTATATCCATACATGTTTGTTGGTGCCGGTGGTCGCCCTTTAGCAGAGTTCAATATTTATGCATAAATGTTGATGAAATCGTGTAATGGGTGCTTAGGCACAAGGTGCTGGAAAGCATTCCGTTCCTTGTACATGACTTAACCAATGTCGTATGTACCTACAGAATAATGCGCCGTTACGGTACAAGGAACTCGGAAATTCCCATATTAATATTGTATGCTTTGCAAAATTAACTGTTCTACTTGTACACGCAAGTCTAAATTCGAAAATAAAGCGGCAACGAATTTTGCATATCGACTCCACAAGCGGACTCCTCTGAAAACACTTGATTCAAAGGTAACTAAGAAAATGCTTGTTAGTGAAAGTTTTAAGGACCAATTGAGTTATTTGCGTTTATAAAAATAATATTTCCCTTCAAATTTTACGTTTATTTACTTTTGTTTTAATAAGGTTTGTGGCTCATTATATGCAATGGCCCTCTTAATTAAAACTTCGAATTAGATCCGACGTGCGTTTTGAGCTAATTTCTTGTTGAAATACATAAAACCTTGCAAATTTCCAAAAGAAATCTTAAACGAATTTAACAGATTAATTTTTGCTCACCTATGTAGGCGAATGTAATTGAAATTTACCGTACCTGTTTTTCCTATATTGATTTAATTAATTATATTTACATTTTTTTATATAATAAAGTTTAATTTTCATGTGTATATCTCAAACGGTTTGAACGTGAAGGCACAGATTTTGTTTAAATCTGTGGTGAAGGCTTTCGTTGGTCTAGTGGTATAATGGTTTCTTACTCTACGAAACTTCTAATTAAAACTTCTACAATAGGTATATAGAAAATTCTACAAAGTTCTAGACAATTCTACAAAATGCTAGTGGCGTACACCAAAACTCTACAGTGATTTTCCTCTTGTCAAAATTTTGTAATTTGAAAACAGGATGAGATTTAATTTTTAGAAGAAAATTGGGGCCTTGTTTCTGGATCATTTAAACACACTACAAAAGCTACAATCCCCGCAATCGAGAATTGCTATAAGTGCGAGTTACGTGTGGGAATTGCGCAAGTTGAAAAACAGTAGGATTTTTAGAGGGCAGTTGCAGGTTTAGTTTTACATTATTTGACTTTATCAAGTAACCAAGCAGCTTCAAAGTTTTTGAAATACTTTATTTTCAAGTCAATTGATGTTGAAAATCATCAAGCTACTTGAATGGAAGGGTCACTACTGGTATTTACGAACCAATTTTAAACTGTAAACTCTTGTATGCTGTACCTAGCGGTAATTAAAAGTGAATGCGACATGTCCTCAGTTTACGTCATCATCAGACATTTAATTACAAAAGTGAAAAGAGAACTTAGCGTGCCTCTTCACTTGCGTTATTAAAATTTTGTGTCCGATAATAACGTAAATCGATCGTAGGTATGTCCCACTGACCGCTACCAATTACCCAAAAGAATTTTACATTCATTCACGGTGAAGGCTTGTAATTTGTTATTGTCTGTAATAAACAACATACTCCATCAGTTTTATTTGGATGTCTAAACCTTCCTTCTTTACCAAAATTCGACTACACCAAAATTTCTCGGGAAAACACTTTTTCTTATTAATTTTGGTGCGTAGAATCCAAATCAATTCGTACTTTTCGATCAGACTTCTCAATCAAAAGTTATAGACTAGAAACCAATTTCGAAAGAAAATTCAAAGGGCTGTAACTTTTGAACTAGCAGCCCAATCTTGGAACTGTTTGAAATTATGGATTCTACAGGCCACATTCTATAAGAAAATTTTTTTTCCGGGTCGATCTGAGACAATTTTTTTTCGGGGCTCAAAAAAAGCAGTCTTTCCAAGTCTTTCCTCTTCAATTTCAGCCCGGTAATTTTAACATAAGGGTGTTTATATTTTAAGCCATCCACATGACATAACAATTTTCATGTGCAATTTTGCCGCATTTTTAGTACGCGAATGCTGGTGTTAAAAACCTATTTTTCTATTTCGGTGTCACAATGATGATTTTGTACAACTGTTTTCGGCCGAAAACAGTTGTACAAAGACAGTGATTATAGTCGTTTTTTTTTGGTAACTCATCTCTTAAGTTGGCAGTTACTA